ATTCTCATATAACACATAGTATAAAGAATTATATGTCCCAACACATCAACAGGACTGAGTTTGAGAAATCCTGCTGTAAATCCTACCCAACAGTTAACATTATCAAGCTTTAAACATTTTCCCCTATGTATATAATGGATGTAAACTGGTTCTCTTGTTCATTTACATACCTTTGGATACTAAAGAGCTGTGTATATTTTATTCATCACACACACTACCTATTAATTGCATGTTCACATATTTGGTCTAAACCTGTATACATTTGATTTATTTAGGTAAAACGAATTGAATCTTTGCTTTCTATGTATTTCCTACAAATACTTACTTCATTTTATGGCTTCTATCCTACAGACACTTTCAACTTGAGTACACACAAATGAGTTCATATTGTGTTCTAAAACTTCCATGTTTTGAGGTTAAGAATTCATTGTTTCAGGACTGTACACTCTTATTTTCATTTAGCATTGTCAAATTTTCATTTTGCACTTATATCTTTAATTCATTTGTCAGACTCTTACAGTGAATGACTTAAAGAATAGAGCATTCTTGGAAAGTGGCCATTTCCAAGGCCAACGGTCTCTTCTGTAGTCATAGTATACTCAACTATGCCCAACATTCTTAATGCATTTTCCTTGGTTTCCTGTGCACTGTCCTAACATCATCATCCATTCCTCGTTAATACTCTCGTTACTACTGTTGATGCTACTGTTTGCCCTTAGTTTAAAGTTTCAAACATTCTTGGAATCACTTCAGAACCCCCATACTTGTCAATTTGCACTCCCCTTACATTCTCTCACTTGCTTTCACGCCTCTCCCCAAAGGACATGTCCATCCCTCACCTCTTCCCAAAACTCCATTCCTTTAGTTTCCTTCCTATCTTACATCTCATACGGAAGTTCAATAGAGATCTTGAGCCCAAAATGTCTAAACCAAAATATGATTCCCTTACTCTCAAAATCTACTCTCTCAGAGGTTTGCATACCAACCTAACAATCTCAGATACACTCTTGATTCCTGACTTTGTTATTCCAAACCCTACCCAAGATCCAGCCCTTTAAATCAACACAGAAGCAGAATTTTTCTCTCCATCCAAGGAATGCCCTTTGTCGTCCACACAGTCACCATGTCTTCACTATATACTGCCAATATTCTCTTAAGAGGCTGTATCAGAACCCAGGCTCCATAATGATCCTCTTCTGATCATAGTCAGATCACATCATTCCCCTTTCCACTGCAGTTAGAATACAACTGGAACTCATGACCAGGCCTATTTAGTCAGACTTGGCCTGGCTTTTCTGCCATCTTATCCAGTTTCCCTTTGCACCATTGTCCCCTTCATATGCTGTTCTCACCTCATCTGCCTCCTTTTTGCTCTTTTAACCCAGACAAACTGTTCTCCCACTGAGGCCTTGGGACTAGCCCTGCACGAACTACTAACAGCAGCAGGGGTACAGCCTCAAATCTAACCCAGCAGAAATATTGCCTCTGAAGAGCTTTTTGGAGCTTTCTATTTCAATTCTCTGCAGAGTACTGGTGATGTTTTCTTGGTTATTTTTTCCACCAGTTTCCTCAGTCTGCAACTTGCCAGCATAATGTCAGTTTTGCAGGAGCACTGAGATGACCTCATGCCATGTCTAGTCTGTTTAGGTGGCTTTGACTGAATGCCACAGGTGGAGTCGTTTGTAAATAAGAGAAATTGATTTCTCACAGTTCTCAATGCTGGGAAGACCGAGACCAAGGTTTCATTCAAACCAGTGTCTAGTAGGGGCTCACCTCCTGGCTCCCCAATGACACCTTGTGGCTGTGTCGCCTCATGGCTGAAGAAAGGAACGTGGTCCTCTGGGGTCATCTTTGTAGGCACAACTTTCATTCATGAAAAAGCAATCTTTGTGACCTGATCACCCCAAAGGCTCCACCTCCTAAGATCATCACATTAGAGGTTAGAATTTCCACACATAAATTTTGGAAGGATACAAACACTCAGTTTATAGCATCCTGTGAGAAAGGATCCTAGTATATAATAAGTGTACAATAAGTATTTGGGCTTATTTTTTGAAACTACTCAATTTCACTGAAATTTAGCTTTTTCCACCAATATCATATCACTAAGGCTTCAGTAAACACTTGCAGTATTAGTAAAATAAACATACTCCCCCATACACATTTTCTCAAAATTGTTCTCCTAAGATTGTGAGACATTTTACATGAATTTCAGACTCAGGTATTAATGCTTACTAAATCCTTTTGGAATTTGGACTGGTATTGTTTTGAATTCATAGATTAGTTTGAGGGGAATTGACAATTATACTAAGTTTTCACCACAAAACCATGGTGTAGATCCAGCACTGTAGTATAAGAAGCTAAGCCTCCACCTGTATTGCTAGCACCTCGTATCTGCACTGGTTCAATCTCAGGTGTTTTACTTCCTTCCCAGCTGCCTGTTGATATGCTTGGGAAGGCAGCAAAGATGACCCAAGTGCTTGAGGCTTCTGGTTTTTGACTAGCCTAGCTCTAGTCATTGCATATATTTGGAGAGTGAACCAGAAGATGGGAGATTCATTAGCTCTATAGCTCAATCTTTCGAACAAAAACAGATCTTCAAAAAGAGAAATCAAAAAGTCTCTTTAAAATGTTATGGTGTTATTTCTCTACTTATACATTTTGAAACATTTGTTTTGGCCTTTACAGTTCTTTTTACCACTTTTAAAAATTCTTTATATATTATCAAATTAACAAAAAAAACTTGATAGTTTTTCTACTATATTTTTCTGCTATATGTAACTGCTTCATTTTAGATTTTACAGAGGGCTCTTATTTTATATAATTTATAGTTTATTTTCTTAATTTTGTTTCTAAGAGATAATGCAACATTTTCAGAATAATTCTGAAAATATTATCTGATCCTTCCAAAAAGTTTCCATCAATATTTTAAAATTTTATTTTCACTTATTTGAATAGCAGAGAGGTAGATTTCCTTTCTACTCATTCACTTCCCAAATGCCCACAATGACCAGAGTCTGGGCAGGTGTCCAGGGACTCAATCCAGTTCTCCAACATACCTTGGAGGAGCCAAATCTCAAGCTGCCACCTGTTGCCCTCTGGGGATTTGCATTAGCAGGAAGCATGAAGCAGAACTAGAACCAGGACTTGAAACCAGACATTCTGAGGTGTGGTTAAACAGCAACAGTAATGCGGGCATCTTCATTTTACTCTGCTTTCTCAGAGCCACCCTTACATGTGGCATTTGCTCAAAGTTTCTGGTAGAAACAAAGCTCTCATCAAGCCAACCGGGTTCCCTTTGTAGCGTTTCTACGATTTTTTGTTTATTTGTTTTGGTAAAGACAATCAGAGAGAGATTTTGCTCATATACAGATTTGCTCTTCAAATAACCTCACAAGGTAGGACTGAGACAGGCCAAAGCAGGAACCTAGAGTGGGAAGCATGGGCCCAAGTGTTTGCATCATCATTTGCTGCCTTACCAAGCAAATTAACAGGAAGATGCATCAGAATCAGATAGTCAAGACTCCAGCCAAAGTTCCAATATAGGATGCAAGCACTGCAAGTGGCAGCTTAATGTGCATTATCACAATATCAGCCCCGAGTTTGTATAATTTGAAAAATTTCTCTATAAATGATGTTTTAAGAAATTATTTTTAATAAGGAAGAACTGAAAGAACATAATAGATATGGGGAAGCTCTTTCAGTGTTATCATAACAGTAATTCCAACTTGTCGAGCTTTCTCTATAAAACAGAGTACTTAATGTTTTTGATGTTTTATTCTTAATTATCCAAACACTTCTACCAGGTGAAATGCTTCTCGTCACTTTAAAAATGAGAAAAAAAAAATGGGCTCAGAGCTCAAGTAATTAATCATAAGTCACAAAATCCAGTAAGTAATTAAGTAGGGATTCATATCCATGCCATCCAGCTCCAAATCCCACACTCTTCCCACTCTACTCCATTTTTAAACAAGTGATATGATATAATCCTTCAACACATCCTAGTGGAAAAGATAACAAATGTGTCTTGGGCTTATCGGCTAATTGATAGCTATAGCACAAAAAATGTCTTTCTGTATGTCCATCCTGAAGGAGATTTAGAAGTAACAAGTCACAGAGACATCTTGCTGTCATTAGAAACTTCGTCTTTTAAAATTAATGGCTTGGGAGCTGTTGCTGTGGAATATCATATACATCCAATATGGGCACTTGTTCAAGTATCAGCTGCTTCACTTTCAATCAAGCTCCCTGTTGATGGCCTGGGAAAGCAGTGAAAGATGTACCAAGCCTGTGGGCTCCTGAACGCACATGGGAGACCTGGAAGAACATTCTGGCTCCTAGCTTCGACCTGGCCCAGTCCTAGTCAATCTGGCCATCTGGGGAATGAGCCAGTACATCTGTCCCTCTTTCTTTGAAACAATACCTTTCAAACAAATGAATCTTAAAAATAAATTTAACACATGGACCAAGAAAGTAAAAGCACAGATAACAGAATTGGACAGGCCACAGATCTAAAATATGTAAAGAGCTGAAATGCTAGGCCAACGTAGGTGGAAACTATCAAGTAAAAATGAACCTGCAGTTTTAAAAAATACCAAAATCACATAAATAGGGATTGAATAACCATAATCTTGTGTCTAATGGTTAAAGCAAAAAACCCACTTTCTGTAACAGGGTTGCCACATCTATGCAGCAGTTATGATATGTGTGAATATCTTTGCTTTAGCAGAGGTTAATAGAATCCCTCTCCAAATCTGGAAACACATAGTTGGTGTGTTGAATAAGTGGTAACCTTGTGAGGGTACAAGTCATGATCTGCTATCTATTTCATCAAATTCAGGATAGAGACCCTTCCAGAGGCAATGGGGAATCCCAAAGTGCCTCCTTGGAAATAAGGAGTCCATGAAACCCCACGCTCTTTTGGGGTTTAATCAGAACTGGAACATGTACCTTTTACAAACCATGCCCTCACACCTTGTATGCCTTCTGTCTGCACTCACCGCTACTCCTGTCTTGTACAGGAGGTAGTGCACAGTCTGGGTGACATCGGCCGCATGCATCAAGTTGTGGTAAGGGTTTTTATGCTTGCTGTAGCCCACCTCCAGGGCCTCCACAAAAGAGACAAGTGCAGAAATGGGGATCTGAAAAACAGACACAAGGTTAACCAACCCTGACCCAAAGGACACAGACTCACGGAATCAAAGATACATCTACCCACCCTGCTTACAGCAGCAGCGTTTACAAGAGTTCTTTTCTGTGTGGCAGAAAGTGACAAACAATTACAAAAGCAGGGCATGCATTTTAAAGTTCCCAGGACCAATTCCATGGTTTAGGGTAGACTGCCTCATATTAAGCTGGGAAAATAGGGTGACAATCACATTAGTAAGAAAAAATAAGGGCAATACAAATGTGATCCTTCTGAGATTGCATAACTATACTTTCTTGGGTGCGTTCTTCCACACTTTCCATTTGCGGATTCAAAAACAAATTTAAGGACATTAAAAGCCAACATATTTATGGGATACTCTGTGATGTTTCAGTAGAAACGCATATCATGTAATGGTCAATCAGGGTAAATATATTTGTCACTTCAAACATTTAACATGTCTTTTAAGTAAAATCATCCAAAAATCATATCTTGTAGATTTTTAGAGAAATACACAAAGCATTAGCATCATCTACAGTCACACTGCTAGGCATTCAAATTCCAGAACTTTTCACTACTGTTTGGTGACACCTTAGTGTCCATCAATTTTTCCCTGTCCTTCACTCTCCATTTCCTTCCTCGGTCTCTAGCAATCATTATGTTATTTATTTTGAAAGCCAGAGTCACAGAGAAAGAATGGGAGAGGAGGCAGGTATTTCATCCACTGGTTCACTCCAGCAGTGGTCACAAGAGCTAGTCCTGGGCTAGGTCAAAACCGGGAACTAGAAGCTTCTGCCAGGACTACCGTGTGGGGAGCAGGGGCCCAACAACTGCCATCTTCTGCAGCTTTTCCCAGTCTACTCATAGGAAACTGGAATGGAAGTACAGCATCTGGAACACATTAAATCACCAGACGGGATGCCAGTATCACAGGCAGTAGCTTTAATCTGCTCTGTCATGACACTGGCCCCATCACCATTACATTTTTAACTTCTATGATCACCTTAATTTTATAGTTTCTGTTTAAGAAGGAAATGGTGTGATACTTGTCTTTCTGGGCTTAAATAACTTAAGCATTACCTTTAAGAGCTCAAAAGATAAATCTTTTCTTTTTAAAGATTTGTTTAATTATTTGAAAATTAAGGTTACAGTGGGAGAGAAAGAAAGTTCTATTATCTATTGGTTGACTCTACAGATGGCCACAGAAGCCTAGGCTGAGCTTGCAAAAGCCAGAACCCAAGCACCTGGGCCATGTCTGTTGCTTTTCCAAGGAAACTAGCAGGGTGCTGAATGGGAAGTGGAGCAGCCAGGACATGAACTGGTGTCCCCATGAAATGTGATGTTGTAGGAGATGGCTTCAACTGCTATGCCTCCATGCAGCTCCCAGCCAAGTCATTTTGAAAATGAAGATACAAGGAACATGGACTCAACAGGTTGTTCTTTGGAGAAACATAAGCTTGTGAAGTAGTTGTGATTATGTATACAAGTATTGCTCTGAGCAAAGGGCTCCCAGCACCTGCAGGATTCTCAGGCAGTGTCTGATGCAAAAGAAATGAAGGACCTAAGGACCCAGGCCATAAAGTATTGATGGTCATGTAAGAAGTACATCCTGAACTGAAGTACACAGCACCAGGACAGCAATAAAGAACCAGGCTGTGCAGAGACATCAGCGTGGTGCACAGGAAAAGGTCTGTGCCTTTTGGAGGCTCATGTTTACTGGGAGATGCATGAGGAGCTGACCTGATAAATTTCAGCCAATGAAGACACTGACCTACTCAATTTCAAGAGGCTACAGCATTTGAGAATGTCAGGGCTGACCGTGAATCGAGATTCACACTCTTTATTTAAAGCTGAAGAATTCATTTGAGCATGAGTGGCTGAGCAGTGAGCTGTCACAGGTGATAAGTGAGAGCATCTGAATGAGCCACATGGTCAATAAGGAGTTTATGGAGCCAGCCCACACTTACTCAGTCTCTGTTACTGTCTGACAGTGTGGATGATACAACATCAGGTCAGGCTGAAATGAGATCCATCAGCAGCACCTGCAGAGTAGCCTTCAGTTTAGAGTCTCTGGGAAATGGGGATCCAAGTATGCCTGTCCAGGATCCAAAGAGATCCACCAGCAAGGGTGCAGCGAACAGCCATCACCATGAGAGAACCTATGGTAATGGCCACTGGAGCTATGTCTACTGGGTCGCCCACCGCAGTTTCAGATGGTGTTAAAACAGTCCTCAGGGCCATCTTGTCCTGCAACTCAGACGAGGATGGTCAAAGGGATACAGTACACTTACAGACCTTTTTAAATGAGCTACTGACCTTGAAGCGGCTAATTAGATCATAGCGTGTAAGTAATTCGTAGAAAATGAATTTCAGTGCATGATCTCCACTGGCCTCATTGAGGGAAAAGACATCGAAGGACCACTTGTCCACATCCTGCCAAACACAGAGGGAGACAGCATGTGTCAGGGTGCTGTCAATTACACCATTTTGCATTCCCCACCAGCAGCCCACTCTCCAGCTCTCCTAACCAGTTCTCCAATGCCATTCCCACCACACTGAGATTTGTTTCCAATCTGACAGTCCTCCACAGCATTTGCTGTTAAAAAAAAGCAAAACTAAAGAGACTTCCAGCTAATGAGAACCATAATTTATTGAGTGCCTGCTCTATATCACAAATTATAATGCATGCTAAAGATGTAATTTTCTAAAAATAAAATAGTATGATTAGTCACATTCTATAGAAGAGAAATGGATGTTACCTATTTCCTTAAGATGACCCAGCATCATTAAGTATTAGGAACACATACACACACACACAGACTCTCAGAAACTTGGGTTTCCCACAAAGCCTATGAACTATTACTGGTTAATGATGAACACCTGAGGTACTCCTTTCCTTTAGAAATGTCTTTAACCTCTAACATGAGTCAATCAGTGATTTCCTCCTGAGCTACAGTTAAGAGCTTTAAAGGTGTTCAGAAACATGTATCATATAGAATATAAAATAATATGCTGATTCTATCCACATTGTTTAAGTAGAATTCTAAAATAGGTGATTCTTCCCCCAATTTTACAGGTGGTGATATCAAAGATGACACGAGGGACCTGACACCATATGGTGGCAGAAGCAAGTAGTGACCCATTGATGCCTCTGTGTGATCTTCCACCTGGTAATGGTGCCTGAACTCCATGAATCTGGGTTTTGATTCTAATTTCATCCATAAATCCCCCCTGGTAAGGTGCAGCCCAGAGTCAGCAAGGCCACTGAAGATTAACCTGAACCTGACGCTCTACCTTGGCCATGACCACTGGCACTGCTATAGCTTGCAGCCATTGTCTGCAACTTGGCCTTGACCAAGAGACCACTGTAAAGTTAGTGTACCAGAAAACACTTGGTCATGTGTGACAATGCTTATTCCTAGTCTCTAGAATGAGCCAAAAGAATAAAAGTTCTTTAACACTGAAAATAAGGATACTTCCAAGCTTAAACAAAAGATACATTCTGAATATTGGGTGGAGAAAGATGAGGATTAATAAATAAAATCAACGAGACAAGTTTTTTGGGCCCTCATTTCAGAGAAAGCGTAACTGTGACTCGCAAATGTTCAAAATTACTTAGAAGGCTCAATTAAAATATAGATTCTTTAGTGAAGGATTCTGAAGAATACTGGTCTGGGACCTAAACTTGCCTTAAAAAAAATCTGTATGTGAGGCAGAATTAGAGACAGAAACAATAATGAAAGAATAAAGTTGAGAATAACTGGGAAAAGAGCTATGAATGAAAATCTCTTTTCGTGCACTTTTTGTTCTTATGAAGAATTACACACATTGTAAAACCTTTTCATTGATGTTACCTTTAATGCTTCAATAACCGCTGGTGGGTAGCTCAGGCCAACCATGTTTGATGTCCGTCTATACATTCTGGCAGAATCAGAGGTTGGGGGAGGGGAACACAACATGACAGCTTAGCAATAAGGATCAGCAATCCACACATTTACACTGAGCATTGAGAAACAGGCAGAAGTCATGCTAACTGGTGTCCCAGAAACCTAAAACTCCTTAGGCCTTTCTCACAGTCACTTACACAGCCCATGTGCTAAACTTCAAAAATCAAAGGTGAACCATTGGGAAGTAGGGTTATATGCCCCATATTAGAAATTAAGGAATTGACTTTGTCCACCAGAGAGAACAATGGCACAGCATGACCAGGACATAGGGCAGCACTTGAATGTCAATGTGGACCCTGGAGCACTCCTTTAGAAGAGCCTGGTCGTGAGAGGTGTCAAAACAGGAAAGGAAAATGTCTTGGGTAACCATGGAACTCGTCAAAGCCAACACTGTACCACAGAGATGGAGGGCAAAGTACATCTATTTTTGGAAGTATTTCTGGGTTAAAGAGACAGTTGCATCTCTCTAACTGCCAGTTTTTACTGGGTCAATAACTTACGCTCTGTATACAGACACTATAATCACATTCAAAGTATTCTGTATTACTTGATTTCCTGATTTCAAAATCAGATTGGCTATGAGCATTTAGTGGTTAAGACCTAGGTTAAGATGCTTATATCCCATGTTGGAGTTGCTGGGTTTGACTCCTGACTCCAGCTTGCTGCCAAGAGGCAACAGTGACTGATGGTCCATGTGGTTGGGTCCCTGCTGCCTATGTTATGAGATGTGGACAGAATTCCCATCTTCTGACTCTGGCTTCAACCCAGCTCCAGCCATTGCAGGCATTTGGGGAGTGAGCCCATGGATAGAATTTCAAAATTCACTCCCTCCTCCCTCCTTTCCTTAGTTTCCTCCATCCTACCCCTTGACTCCATTTCTGCCTTTCAAACAAGCAAATAATATTTTGAAAATATTATTAGACAATATTATTAGATAATTAGATAATTAAATGTTATCTATTGGATAATTAAATATTATTAGATATTTAGATAAATAGAAATTGAGGACAAAACTTAAATCCTGTTTAACAAAGAATTCTGGGCAAAGGCAAAAACATGACTTAATGATGCTACAGAAAAGTGTTTGCCATTTCTCATATAAAGACATACTTCTACTGCAAATGTTGAATGTACAAAGAAATCTTTAAACTGCACATTGGAGCCAAGCTTGCAGCTACTGGACTCTGCCATCCCTCTGGCGCAATGAATGACCTCCTTACCTCTCCACAAATATCCCAGCCTGCACAGCATGGACGATGCTCTTGAACCGGGGCTTTTCTTCACTCCTCCTAAGCATCATCCCCATCTGCCGGGTGAAGGTAGAGGCCAGCCAGTCTCGGACCTCAGAAGGCACAGCGTCGGACTGAATATCACTGAGCTCATCTTCCGTATCCAGGAGTCGCCTGAGCACAAGAAACAGATGACACCTGGGGTCAGAGTACTCCTGCAAACCAACCACTCCCTCCAACCCCACCTGCACAGACAGGTTCAAAGACACCAAATGCCATCTTCCTTGGCCCAAACACATCACTGTCTTGATTAAGCTTATACCTACAATTGATGTTTTATGATGGCTCCCTTTACATACTGAACAGAGGAACAAAGAGAAAAGAATAATGGATACATCACCTCAGGCTCTAGGGACACCCAGCATTTTTTTGTTTCTAGAATGTTTGTGGCATTTCAGGGGAATTTATCCCTTTTACTTACAAAATGCACCGAGGGAGCTAGTGCTTGGCCCAAAAGTTGAAATGTCAGTTAGGATCATTGCTTCCCATACCTGAGTGCCTGGGAATCTATATTCCTCTAGCTCCTTAACTGCAGGTCACTGCTTACCCAGACACTGGGAGGCAACCATGATGCCTCAAATTATCTCTCTGACTCACATGGATTGGGGTCCCAGCTGGTAGCTTGAGGTGGGTCCTGTCCCAGCCACCAACAGTGTCTGCAGATTGAATAAACATTCTCAACTTTTCAACCTCTCAGTGAGTGTGTGTTTGGGTTCTTCAATAAAAATTTAAAACACATTCACAAGAAGTCTTAAGTTATTATATACATTGGGTCATGTGGCATTAACTTATTTTTAGGGAAAAAAAGGAGGAGGCTGTTGTGCACAGTGGGTTAAGCCATCACTGGCAATGCCTGCATCCCCCATCATTGTATCAGTTTAATTCCCAGCTTCTCTGCTTCTTATCCAGCTTCCTGTTAATGCACCTTAGAAGCAGAAGATGAGCCTTCTCCCCAAGCCAGAGACCCAGATGAGACCCAGCTTTAGCCTAGTTCAGCTCTGGCTATTATTGTCATTTGGGTAGTAAACCAGCTGATAAGCAACCACTTTCTCTCCTTCTTTCTCTCATTTCCCGTCTCTCCCACTCTCACTTTCAAGTAAATAAACATTTAATAAAAATATTACTCAAAGAATTTGCAAAGTATTAACTAAATCATAACAACTCACTTCTCTAAATTAATGAACCCCACTGATGTCAACTTCTTTCTAATTTTATTGGATGTTACAGAAATGTAAGGTTTAAATTCAAGCAAAATCCACACAATATTGCAGTTCTATATTTGAGCACAATGACTTAAGTCACCTGACAGCTGTATTCATAGGACAGACCACTGTAAATAAATGTCAATAGTACTGTCACAACATAGCTGAAATTCAATTTTTTAAGAATTATTTATTTGAAACTCAGATTTACAGAGAGAGAGAGAGAGAGAGAGAGAGAAAGAGAGAGAGAGAGAGAGAGCAAGAGAGATGTCACAGTTGCTGGTCCACTCCCTCAATAGCTACAAGGTCCAAGGACGGACAAGCCAAGACCCGAAGCTTCTTCCAGATCTACCACATGGGTGGCAGGGGAGCAGACACAGAGCAGTCAGGAAACAAACTGGAACCCATGTGTGATGCTCGTGGCATGCTATACCAACTGTTCCCTAAAATCAACATTTTAAACTTATATATTAAGTCCTACTGAAAATAAAAAGTAAAAGCAGGTGTCCATGTAAAGGTGATTTTTTTTCTATCCTAAATGGGGGAAAGAGAAGAAAACAATATTGGGAATTAACTATAATATCAGGTTTCTTGAATTTACAAAGCATATATGACAGAAAAAGAGAAAAACCATACAATCTTTGGATTCCAGTGGCATACTTTGAGATTAGAATTTGGCAAAGCAAAGTAAGATATCATGAATATCCAAGCAGAAAATGTGCTAAGCAGACTGAGGCAGTTTTCCTCCTTGAGCCCAATGTGCACTGAGAGAACACGTGTTGCTCTATTTATCAGGGGCCTGCATGGGATAGACATTATGAATTAAAATACAGGCCCAACTCCTAAACTGAGACTAACAACGTGCAGTGATGAGGACAGAGCCCTGCACCCTTTACATCATCTCACTTCCTTGCCATAAGGGCCATGTCAGATAAATTCATTGGCTCCTTGTAGACAGAAGGAAGTGCAGAGGGCAAGTGACTTCTCCAAATCCATTTCATTTCGTTCTTGAAACTAAAGCTTCAAGGCCAGCAATGTGAATATTAACATGTCCCTGCCAGCTGCAGCAGCTTCAGAAAAGTCATAGAACAGGAAATTCAGCATCCCTGCACCATTCTCTTGTCGTTGCTAGCCTACCTGGTTTCATCAATGTAGACAGATTCCAGCACTGTAGCTGCATATTCCAAATTCTTCTTCAGATCCACCACCGAGGCCTCCCCTCTCTCCAACTGTTTGACCAAAGACCGTAACCTAGGAGAAAAAAAGGCACTGCATTAGAATTCAAAAGGCAAGTAACAGTCTTTGTGGTGACACAATTTACAATCATTGAAGGTTATTATTTATCCTAATATATTTGGAAAAAATAGTAATGGGTTCAAGTGAGCAAGTGATAAGATCAATAGATAAACTTTTGTAATTGGGAAATCAGAAAACTTTTTTCCAATAAGCCAAGCACTGACTACCTGCAAGACATCCTAGGTATATGACATCTGTATGTGTTTCTAAATGATCAGTTTTGCCCTTTTTTAGACTTTTTTTTTCAATAGAACTTAGTAGATCTTAACAATGCAGAATAGGTGCTTCCATAGAGATAAAGTGAAATAGTAGCTTTCATTAAATAAGTTTTGCAAACCTGAAATATAGCCTGTGAGTAAATGAAAAGGGATCAAATTGAAAGCAGAAAAACAAGTGAAAACATCCAGGATAATCCACTGTAAATCTTCATCTCAAAGAAGGAAGAACTTGGACGTCCTTAAAAAAATGCATTGCTTGGGCCCAGCGCGGTGGCGCAAGTGGTTAAAGGTCCTCGCCTTGCACGCCCGGGATCCCATATGGGCGCCGGTTCTAATCCCGGCAGCCCCGCTTCCCTTCCAGCTCCCTGCCTGTGGCCTGGGAAAGCAGTCGAGGACAGCCTAAAGCTTTGGGAACCTGCACCCGCTTGGGAGACCCGGAAGAGGCTCCTGGCTTCGGATCGGCATAGTATCGGCCCGTTGCGCTCACTTGGGGAGTGAATCATCGGACGGAAGATCTTCCTCTCTGTCTCTCCTCTCTGTATATCCGCCTTTCCAATAAAAAAATAATAAAAATAAATCTTTAAAAAAAAATGCATTGCTTACAAAACAACAAATTTCAGGCTTGCCACTGACTTTCCACCATGCTAAGCATCAGAATACAACTTACTAACAGAGCTGTTTTTTGAGAATAATTATGGTACAATTCAACATTTATTTTAACTATTCATAAAGCCTGCCAAGTGTATGTGAAGCCAACAGAGATATTCTCAGGTACTGACAAGCTCAAACTGTTACTACTCATTTGCTTTTCAGAAAACAAAACAAACAAAAGTAACTTTAAGGCTTATTCTAGCACAGTGTTCTTCCACAGATTCATGAAGCTTCAATTAAATGGATCATGGATTGAGAAAGCCGACCTCCCAAACTGTACATACACACAGTTTACAAAGGTTGTTGGATAAAGCAATGTAATATAATCCTAATATTATAATTATAACTATAATCCTAATAATTCATGGAGAACTAAACATGAAAATGAATTGATACTTCTTTTCCTAAGACAAGTTAATAATTGTCTTATTTTTAACATTTATTTCAAATCAGAGTTTCAGAGAGAGAGGGAGGCTCAGTGGCTGAGCCAGGCTGAATCCAGGAGCCTGGAATTCCATCCATCTCTCCCATGTGAATGATAGAAGTCCCCAGTACCTGGATCCTCATCCACTGCTTTCCTGAGAACATCAGCAGAGAGCTGCAGCAGAAGCAGAGCGGCCAGGATTTGAACTGGTACACATATGGTATGCTTGTGTCACAGGAGACAGTTAAACCCACCGTACCACAATACTGGGCCCAAGTTCCAAATCTGCATGGATGCCTCCAACACCACTTCTATAAATTGAGAATTACAGCCACTCAAAAAGCAATTGAAGAACATGAGATGGACTATGGGTTTACAACCAGATTGTTGATAATTCTCATTCCTGGGGAATCCAATCCAGAGCAGGAAGCCCAGACCTGATGAGCAATGCTCCCAGGGCAAGCTTCTCTTGAAACCCTACCCAGCAGTGCAAATCAGCAGCCCTGAAAGCCAGCTCCACTGACGGCAGAGTGGCGGACTTCTCACTGCTACAACCTGTGGCCATGCCCAGTGGATAGTGGGCAGTCACAGATGTATCCAGTACAAAGGTCTGACCCATCAGCAGGCTCTATATAACAAACCTTAGAAAAGTGACTTCAATAAAACCAGGAAAGATTTGAGACACATATGAGGTACCAAAATTTACATCAACCCACATCTTTCTCGTTTATGAGGTGAACCAAAAACCCTAACAGCTTAGCACAGTGTGAAGGGAGCCCAGGACAAATTCCCTGCTCTCACCCCCCCACCAATACTCAGTGAGTTCATGGAAAACATGCAGCTGGCATTCATCCCCTCCCATACTGAAGAATGAGTAAACAGGCAGGGGAGGGGAATACAGCAAACATGTGAGAGGGGGAAAACAGCACTCAAAAAGCAGAGAAATAACTCAGTTTGTGGAAAACATGTACTAACGGAAACAAGGGAAACTTTGGGGTCATCTGTGTGCTCAGGAAAATCCAAGACAAGATAAATGCACGACAAAAGTGAAAGCTGGCATCAATGTCACAAAAAGCAAAGATACTGACAGAGTAAAAGAACTTGAAAAGAAAGCAAGACAAGAAGAAAAATGGGAGCAGTTACTGAAAAGGAGATAAAACATGGTCAGATTTCTAGACTTGCAGGTCCAGTCTGGCATGATGCCCACATCTGATGCAAGGTACATTCGATAACTGCATACTGTTACCACCACAAAATCCTGAGGAATTCTACATGCCCTCTGTGCCTGATACGGCTGTGCCTTATCATAGTGACCAGGTGCGGGCTGGTCCACTGGCTGTCTGTGCATGGTGGTCCTCCACCTCTCCATCCTTCCTGTGTAGAACACCCCTGCCATGCCCATTCCTCCCCCTGCCACATACACATTTCCAACTCTCACTAAAATGTCCATTTCTTGGGCAGAACATTTTCCAATGAATTCTTGCTCACTACTAGCCAACTAACAGCCTGACCAGTCTCAAAAATTCTTAACATTCTTGGCAAGGAAGACCTTTCTCTATGTTTCACCACAGCACAGATTTTCCCTAGATCTGAATCTATTTAAGGAGAGTAATCTAAGGTCAAGCACTTGGTGTAGCAGTTAAGACACCTGGATCTGAGCCATTTGAGCCTGGCTCCACTCTTCATTCCAGAGAAGTGCACCTAGAGAGGTGGCAGATGATGGCTCAAGTAATTAGGTCCCTGCCACCCACCATGCTCAATGCTGGATTGTGCTCTAACCTTCCAGCTGACCCCTGGTATGCTATCTGGAGAAGGAGTCAGCAGCTGGGAGCTTGCTCTGTGACTCTGATGCATGTGTGTTTATATATATTTTTAATTTATATCCATTAGTATACATTATAATTTTACTCAATACAATTATAATTTTAAGGAATTTTACTTTAAATTTTAAAGGAGGAGTGCTTGAAAAGTAGCCAGATCTTTCTTTCATACCCGTATTATAAAGAATTGGTGTATAAACTTGGAAATGAATAGCTAAGGCTGGAAGGCTCAGCTCCCTTCCTCTGTTTTCCTAGCAAAGTACATCTGACTCATTCTCCAAGTGAATTCATTCCACCTAAGAGACTAGTGTCTCCAAGGGCTAGGGACCACAGTAAATAGTAGCCTGTAATTTAGTGAAGATAGCTACCAGCCTTCCAAATATGCTTCAAAAGGATATTTAGCCTCAGTATCCCAACAGTTTATTTCATGAGCATTCAAAATGGATGCACAAGGGAGCATGGAAAGGAAGCTGCTACAACAATGAGAGTAACAAATATCCACTTTTGAGTGCATGCTCATAGTTTCCAGCACTCCATCCATTCCTGTCACCATGCCTGCCAGATAGCAGTCTCCATACAGAAGTACAGCACCATGTTAGGAATAGCTTATGCTTTCAGCCTTTGGCAAGATGCCTTTGTACTAAGCAGTGTACAATCTCAATGGCCAGGAGTCACAGCACCTCTACAGGGGTCTTTCATTTTCTCCCCACAAACACCTTTGTTTTCTGCACACATCTTAACTGCAACACATGGCATGAAATGCAACATCACTTCCATTTTCTATGACCTCAAGTCCACCATGAATTGTGATGTGCAGTTCTCCTGAATGAATGCCAACAGAGGTGTTGGAAGAGGAAAGCCAAGGAAGGAAAGAGCTGGCACACACTATGCTTTGGAAGGTGAATGCTATTGGGGTGAGACACTGAGAAGTGCTTGCTGTCTGCTGGAAAGACAATCTCTAGTACTAAAACAGTAGACTCCGTCAGGAAGCAACTTAATGACTCCACTTTCTAAAACAGAAAACTACCCTGCCATGGACCAGGGATTATCCTCCCCACATGGTGAGGTCACTGAATATGCTGTGGTGCTAGATGTGGAAAGCACAGACATTTGTTGGGCTTCAGATACCCCCAGAAGGAAAGCCAAAATAAAGTACAAGAGAACATTGTAACAGAAGCACACTTTCTTGTATCTGGATGTGCTGCCCAAACTTGTCCCCCTGCGGATGGATATGCAGCTCCTAAGATGCCCCTGTGGCCAATGATGGTTGCTGCTATCTGAGACATGTTCTGCTCAGTTTGAAAGACCAGGAAAGGAAAGTGCTCCTTAACAGCACCTCTGTGACATGGCCTGATGAATCACGGACCCTAAAATCGCATTGAGCAAAAACACCTCTTTTTCAGTCCCTCCCATCCAAGGATTCATCAGACTGATGTGTCCCATGTACTTTTCAGCTACCTGACATCACTCCTATCCCCTGCCTGCCATTTATACCTTACAACTCTTCTAAATGGGATGCCCAAAGGAACTTTAAAGTTTACACATCACAGTCTACAGCTACTAGGGAACATTTTTTCCTGGTGATTTGCCTCTATCACCAAGGCTGACTAGTGGAGATGGCGGCATTTCCTGAGTGTTTCTTGTGCATAGGCAATGCGAAAGCTCCAGCAATACAAGGGCGGTGGTGGGGGGAGGGGACGCAGTGCTTCCTCTCAGCTATCAGCACATCCACAGGACACATGAGGGCCTATCAGCACTCACAGAGCAGTCCAGGAAGCCTGGTGGCAAAGGTGAGACAGGGCTGAGCCAGTCCCAGGGACAAAAAAAGTCACCTAGCCAGAA